GTGGCTCCACTATAAATTCACACACATTGGTGGGATCTCCCCCTTCTTTATAAGCAAAAAAATCCCCCAAATCCAAACCACCATATTCATCTCATTATCAAGCTGCTAGAAAGAATTCAACCACTGACTCCAAATCCTCATTTCCCATTTATTCCTTAAATTGTGACCAATCTTTCTGCCACCACCAAACTTTTATTCCTTTGCAGGGTGGTGTTTTTCAGTGTGGTAAATGTACTACCCACATCAAAACATCTGTAAAAACTTGTTAAAATGTGGATTTGGGGGCTTTTCCCAGATCTACTCAATCAGAGTACCCTTGAGTGATGCTCTCCTGAGCAATCAGCTTCAGCAACTGCTATTTTAGTCATTTGTAAACTCCTGGTTGCCAATTCTAGTGGTATTTTTCTAATTATTTTCTTGACCTGCAGGGCACCTAAGAATGCCTATTCTGTTCTTTCAAATATCTTTTTGCCAACCTCATGCTTCATCCACCTGTTGCTTATTTTTCGAAATGCAAAATAGAAGAGGATAAATGAAATAAAGGATAAATGAAAAACCTAATAATTTTATGTACATATGCATATATATATATATATATATATATTTACATGTGTGTATATAAAGCCAGAGAGTGAGTACAAATGCACACACATTCTCAGGAAGGGACAGGGGAAAAAAGATAGATGTTTCTGCATATACTGTGTATTACAGATTTGTTACATATATATTTTTAAAGATTTATCTATTTATTTTGAAAGAGAGAGAGTGCATGCACACCCATGCATGAATGGGGGAAGGGGCAGAGGGACAGGATCTCCAGCAGACTCCTTGTTGAGTGCAGAACCTGACATGTCATGCCATCTCAGGACCCTGAGATTATGACCTGAGCCGAAACCAAGAATTGGACGCCCAACCGACTGGAGTCAGCCAGGCACCCCTAGATATGTTATATTTTTATATAATAATTTTTAAATCTCAATTTTTAAGTATCACAAGCTAAATTAAATAATTATAACTGTGTCTTGAGTTGGAGGCACAACTCACTATAAGGAAGTTATTTTAAGTTACTTTAAAACAGGGCAGCCCCGGGTGGCTCAGTGGTTTAGTGCCGCCTTCAGCCCAGGCGTGATCCAGGAGACCCAGGATCGAGTCCCACATCAGGCTCCGTGGATAGAGCCTGCTTCTCCCTCTGCCTATGTCTCTGACTCTCTCTCTCTGTGTCTCTCATTAATAAATAAATAAATAAATAAAATCTTTAAAAAAAAGAAACTGGTTTTGGGCAGCCTGGGTAGCTAGCTCAGCAGTTTAGCATCGCCTTCAGCCCAGGGCCTGAATCTGGAGCCCTAGGATTGAGACCCGCATCGGGCTCCCTGCATGGAGCCTGCCTCTCCCTCTGCCTGTGTCTCTGCCCTCCCCTCTCCCCCTCTGTGTCTCTCATGAATAAATATATAAAATCTTTTAAAAAATTTTTAAAAAATAAAATAAAACAAATTGGCTGTATGAATCTGGTACGATACATCCTAAGGACAAAACCAATTTTAAACTGTTTTCAGGAATCAAAAAAGGTTGTTTTCAGCAATCCTATTACTGATGGTATATATTATTCTGAGACTACTGTGTAGGAGTTATTGGAAAAAATGAATAAGAAATCATGTAGCTATTCATTACAGTCAGGATTTTGGTATGAGAGAAAGGAGATACATATGTTAAGACTTACGAGATTAATTAAAAAGCCTGTGGACCTAAATTTGAAATGAAAGCATCAACATGAATAAACATTTTACTTTAATGTACATATTTCCAAGGTCTTTTTCTCTAAAAAGACCTAGGGAGGGAAAACTCAGTATTAATGATACCAGATCCTAGCATCCAGATTACCACTTTCTATGAAAAGGAAATAGAGCTTTTTGGAGAGAAATTACAACCAATTACAAGAACAGGGCAACAAATGCACAAGATGAGGCAAGAACATTTGGTCATAGGAGAAAGAAAGGAAATAACAAAGACTATTGAGATGATGTTCAAAAGACAAAAGCATCAACATGACACAGTTCTCATGTAAGACACAAACATAGCTACACCACTTCTATTCACATTGTACTGAAAATTATAGCCAGTACAAAAAAGAAAAGTTAGAAGATAAATACTGGGACAGAGGAAATAAAACATGTCATTATTCACATGACATGACTGTGTATGACTAAAATCCAAAAAGCTCTACAATAAACTATTAGAATTAATTTAGCAGGGTGCCTGGATATAAGGCCAAAATAAAAAAAATAGTTTTCTATGTATCAGCAACAGAGAATAGAATATACAAAATGGTATTACCTAAAGCATTAGAAACATCAACTAGAAGAAAACACGGAGAGGTTTTAGAATAGGTTCCTACTGACAAGAGAACAATATGAATTGTTTTTTTTTTAAGATTTTTTTTTAAATTTTTATTTATTTATGATAGTCACAGAGAGAGAAAGAGAGAGAGGCAGAGACATAGGCAGAGGGAGAAGCAGGCTCCATGCACCGGGAGCCCGACGTGGCATTCGATCCCGGGTCTCCAGGATCGCGCCCTGGGCCAAAGGCAGGCGCCAAACCGTTGCGCCACCCAGGGATCCCGAGAACAATATGAATTGTAATGAGTGAAACAAATATATGTTTAAATTCATAATGATACTGAAAAAAAATTCTCACATATGAACTTTAAAAAATGACAGGGAACCAACTATTTTAAAAACATAGAGACAGAGAAACAATCTAGCCTTGTACACCAACTACCCCTCAGGTATCAAATTATCTATAAACAAACTTTTTTTTTTTAGCAGAAAGATTCCAGCTAATGAGAGAATTTGAGTATCACCTGTAATTCCTAATGAAATATTGGAATTAGACAATGATAAATGACTGCGAGTATCACAAAGACAGCCCATACAGGGCACCTGAGTTGCTCAGTGATGGAGCATCTGCCTTTGGCTCAGGTGGTGATCCCAGGGTCTTGGGATCGAGTCCCACATCAGGCTCCCCAGAGCGAGCCTGCTTCTCCCTCTGCCTCTGCCCCTCTCTCTCCTGAATAAATAAAATCCTTAAAAAAAATGACAACCCAGACATTGTATCTTGTGATAAAAGTACACAATTCTACCTATGATGTATTCTTGCTAGGAAAATTGAACCTCTATTTGAAAGAGCCTCTAGCTTTAACTATCGGTTTCAGGAAATACAAAACACAAAGGAACACATTAAACGACATCATGGAGATGTAAGCAGCAAAAATGAGATTGCAGAAGACTCCATTAAGAACCCAGGTGTTTTTCAGGAACCAACCAAAAGAAAAAAAAAAAAAAGAGAAAAATCTATAGGTCAATAGATATTTAACACAAATTCCAATAAATATCGATGTTGATTTTGATCTGGAATAGGTTGATTCCAACAACCTATACAACACCTATATACTGGAGAATTACTATTAATTTTTAAGGTGTACTAACTAGATTGTGGTTGTGTGTGTGTATTAAAGAGTTCTCATATTTCACGGATTTGTATCAAAGTATTTTCAGGTGAGAGAGAGAAACCAAGAAACAGACTCAATTATAGAGAATGAACTGATGGTTACCAGAGAGAAGTGGGTGGGGGAATGGGTGAAATAGGAGGTGGGAACAGAAGTGCACTTGTTGTGATGATGTATTACCATGTGATATATGGAAGTATTGAATCACTATGCTGTACACTCGAAACTAATATTACACTGTATGTTAACTGGAATTTAATAGAAAGAAAGAAAGAAAGAAAGAAAGAAAGAAAGAAAGAAAGAAAGAAAGAAAGAAGAAAGAAAGAAGAAAGAAAGAAGAAAGAAGAGAAAGAAGAGAAAGAAGAGAAAGAAGAGAAAGAAGAGAAAGAAGAGAAAGAAAGAAAGAAAGAAGAAAGAAAGAAAGAAAGAAAGAAAGAAAACGAATGAACATGTCTGGTATTTGTTCTAATATAACCCAGCATGAGAAGATATATATGACATAAGATTGTTGTTTTAATAATTACTGAACAAATTCAATCCTGCTAAGATACTTTTAGAATAGACAAAAAAAACCTATACTGACCTCATTGGAGATCATAAAGATCCAAGCTAAGAGGAACAAAGTCTGAGAACCAGTAATGTTTAATTCATCTGCAACTGAAACTAAGGAATAGGTTGAAGAGGTTGAAGTAGGGAACAAACTCACAATTATACTAATTACTAATATAGCCTAATTCAAGTATAACTAAACTTTCTCTTTTGGTCTAATCACTGTGAAAAATACAAGTGTAAGCTAAATAATCTTTTGTTAATTATCAGAAATGCCTACTTATCTAAATTATAAATATTAAATCACATTTGGATAGATCATATATAACACTTGAAATGAGCAATCTTATTTAAAACATTTATGATGACCCTTAATCAGAATAGCTAATTTATACAATTATTCTCTAACATGGTAAACATTTTTCTGCATGCATATATGCAGTTTGCATTCATAAACTTTTTTGACATGAGAAATGATGTTTTAGTTGCTATTTTTACTATCACACAAGCATAGTGATTGGCAAATATTAGGCACTCAAATATTTGTTGAATTAATCAACAATAGCATATCCCCATATTCTAATTTTAATTAAAAAATAAACAACCTGAGTGAACTATCCAGAAATAATGTTGACTATATTTGCTGTATGGACAGCTTTAAGCAAAAACTTAGAAGAAATTTTCTATTAAACTACAAAAAGGGTAGTGGCTTTATAATGCCTGTAAAAATAAATACAAAATTGCTGCATAATGACTCAGGTAATAATTTTTCCAAAAAGAAAAAAAAACCCAACATTTCAATGCAAATTATTATTTTCAGCAATATCTGGACACTGCTGTTGCAAGACTGTTCTGAAAGCTGAAAACCACCAAAAATTTTAAAACATATTTACTAGTCAAAGACACCAAAAAAATAAAAGATTTTTAATATGACAATGGATTGCCTAAATCACATACTAAATTGTTCTATACAGGGAGATTTCACAATCCAGGAGCCATAGCCATGCTGCTGCAAGTAGGATTTCAACAAAGTTTTAGCTTCTTGATAGGATCCAGACATACACTATAGAAAGAAAAAAAAACTGAATTATAGAATATAGGCAGAATTTGGCTTATGAAAAGTTAAGTAGCCCTAATCTTCTTTAGTCTGACATTTTAAAAATTAATGAAAATATTTTTGAATTCCTATTTTTCTTATTATTTTTGAAACTAACCATTTTCTTTTCTGACATTCCTTAAAGACAATTTGTTTCTAACATTTTTTAAAAATAGTCATACTCATTACAGAAAACTTGAAAAGCAGAGAAAATCTAAGGAAGAAAATAAAAACTGCCTGTGATCCCCAAACTATAGATAACCACCATCACTATTTTGATTTCATTTTTTATGAATCAACATATAGATGAACTTTTTAAAAAGCTTTGAAGTATAATTACATACCATATATGCACTCACAGTATACAGTTTGATGATTGTTAGTATATTTACAAAGGTATGCAATCATACCACAGTCAAGTTGTAAAACAATTCTATCACCTGCAAAAAAGTTCCACTGTGCCCATTTGCCTTCCAATCTGTATTCCTAGATACAACTCAACCATGAATCTACGGTCTTTAGAGTTCTGCTTTTTCTAGAAATTTCATAAATATTGATGAACACAATACAAACTCTTTTGTGTCAAGTTTCTCTGAGTTAGCAGAATGTTTTCAGATTCATTCACATTGTTTCATGTATTTGTAGTTTGTTCCATTTTACTGCTGATTAGTATTCCATCATATGGATTTATCACATTGTTTACGCATTCATCAACCGATGAACAATTGAATGTTTGCAGTTTTTGGCTATTATGAATAATGCTGCTGTAAACTACAGGATTATAGGGACCTCATAAAAGAAGCTGGAAATGTTTTCTATTTTATGGAAGAGTTTTTGTAGAATTTGGGGGGTTTTTCTGCATATAAATTTGATAGAATGCACCAGTAAGGCTATATCTGCACTCTGCTTTTCTTTAGGAAAAGAGTAAGTTTTTAGATTTTAATTCCAGGTAACATACAGTGTTATATTAGTTTCAAGTGTACAATATAGCAATTCAACAATTCCATACATCACTTGGTACTCAGAGACAATCCTAATCTATTTGTTTAACCCATACCCCAACCCCTGTGATAACCATCAGTTTGTTCTGTTTTTGAATTTTGTTTCCTGCAGATGGCACATAGTTGGATCTTGCTTTTATTTAATTTTTTAACCCAATCTGTTTCTTGGTTTGTCTCTATTTTTAGGAAGAGAATCTTAATAATTAAACTACTTTAGTTCAATTTATGTATTTTCTTTAGTCAGGTTTTAGATTTTTCTAGGAATGTGTTCATTTAACAGGTCTAATTTTTTGGCAAAACATTGTTCATATTATTCCTTTATAATTATTTTAGCTCTTGAGATATGTGGTGATGATCCTTCTTTCATTCCAAATTTTGATCACTTGTGTTATCTCCAATTTATCAGTTAAAGGATTATCGATGCTTTTTCAATGAATACTTTTATTTCATTGATTTTTTTGCTTTCTATTTCACTGAATTCCATACTATTTTCTATTATTCCCTCTCTCCTACATTTAATTTGCTCTTCTAACATCTCAATGTAGAAGTTCAAATAACTGATTTTACAATTCTCTTCTTCCTAATGTAAGCGACTAAAGTTTTTTTTTCTAACCATGCCTTTGATTCCACAGATTTTAATATTGTATTTTCATTCAGTTGTAGATCTTTTTAAATTTTCTTATAATTTCTTCTTTGACTCATGGGCTATTCAGAAGTTAAGCTGTTTAATTCTCAAACAGGTAACTTCCCAGATTTCATTTCGCTATTGATTTTTAATTTAATTCCATAGTGGTTAAGAACGTATGTCTGATTTTAATCCTCTTAAACTTATAGAGACTTGCTATATTGTTTATATTGGAAAATATTCCATGTGTACCTGAAAATATATTATGCTGTGATATAGTGTTGCTGACAGGCCAGTTTAGTTGGCACTGTTTTTCTATAATCTTATTTTGTTTAGTTATGTTATCAACTGCTGACACAAGACTATTAAAACCTCCTACAATAATTGTAGAATGATCTATTTTACCTTTCAATTGTGTCAGTTTTGGCTTATTTTGGGGTTCTGTTGTTACTAACACATGCAATTACCACTTAATTATATACAACTATTATATTTGTTATGTGTTCCAATGTATTAGCCTTTTTACCAGTATAAAATGCTGTTCTTTGTCTCATATTTCTCATCTTAATGTGTTTGATGTTAATGTAAACACTTCAGCTCTCTTTATTGCTACTGTTTGCATGGTATGTTTCTTTCAGCCTTTTACGTTCAATCTGTTTGTGTTTTTGAATTTCATGTTTCCTGCAGATGGCATATAGTTGGATCTTGCTTTATTTTTTTTTAACCCAATCTGATATTCTCTGCCTTTTCTCTGGAGCATTTAGTCTAATAGAATCTAATGTGATTACAGATGTAGTGGGTTCATGTCTGCCATTTCACTATTTTTGAAGGCCCATGTCTTTTATTTCTCTACTTCCTATTTACTGCCTTCTACTAGTCTTTTTAAAATGCATTTTATTACATCATTTTAATTAGTGTGCCAATATTCTGCCTGTAGTTTTCCAGTTATTTTCTTCACGGTTACTTTAGGAATTATAATATGTCTCCATATTCTATTTCAGATTCATATGGACTTAATCTGGTAAAATACAGTTAAATTTGTTCTAGTACTGATTTATTTCTCTCTCATTATACTATTGCTGTTTATATTCCATCTACTTTTCCTACAAAATCAGTAATTCAGTTAAAATTGTTTTAAAGAAATTCCACTTTTAAAAGAAAATCAGAAGAAACACACCCTTTTTATATTTACTTCTATGATTACTATTTTCAGTATTCTTTATTCCTTCCTGTAGATTCCTGCAGATTTATGTATCGGTGGTCTAATTTCTTCCAAACTTTAAGGACCTCCTTCAGAATTCCTTTTTTTTTTTTTTTTTTTGCAGGGAGCCCAATGTGGGACTTGATCCCGGGTCTCCAGGATCACACCCTGGGCTGAAGGCAGCGCTAAACCGCTGTGGCAATGGGGCTGCCCCAGAATTCCTTTTAGGGAAGTTTTGCCTACAACAAATTTTCTCAATTTTTGTCTGCCTGGGAATTTTTTTATTTTGCTTTTAAGAATTATCTTGCTATAGAATTCTTGGCTGACAGGTTTTTCAGCACTTTAAACATTTTTCTTTTTTTTAGACTTTTATTTAAATTCTAGTTAACATATCATGTAATATTGGCTTCAGTAGAATTTAGTAATTCATCACTCATAACACCCAGTGCTCAACACAAGTGCTTTCCTTAGTACCCAATACCCATTTAGCCCCCTCCGCCCACCTCCCATCCAGCAACCCTCAGTTTGTTTTCTGTAGTTAAAAGTCTTTTATGGTTTGTTTCTGTATTTTTCTCTTCCCCTATGTTCTTTTGTTTTTTTAAATTCCACGAGTGAAATAATATGGTATTTGTTTTTCTTATTTTGCTTAGTATAATATACTCTAGCTCCATCCATGTGGTTGCAAATAGCAAGTTTTCATTCTTTTGGATGGCTGAGTAATATTACATTACATTAATATATGTAACATATATCCATTATACATACACACACATCTTTTTCTATTCATCAGTGAGCATTTGGCTCTTTCCATAATTTGGTTATTACTGGTAATGCTACTATAAACATCTGGGTACACGTGCTCCTTTGAATCAGTACTTTTGATCCTTTGGGTAAATACCAGTAGTGCAACTGCTGAATAGTAGGGTAGTTCTATTTTTAACTATTTTAAGAACCTCCATACTGTTTTCCCTAGTGGCTGCACCAGTTTGCATTCCTACCAACAGTGCAAGAAGGTTCCCCTTTCTCCACATCCTCACCATGTTGTTTCCTATGTTGTTACTTTTAGCCATTCTGATAGGTGTGAGGTGGTATCTCACTATGGTTTTGATTTGTATTACCCTGATGATGAATGATGTTGAGCATTTTTTTCATGTATCTGCTGGCCATCTGGATGTCTTCTTTGGAAAACTGTCTATAGCTGTCTTCTCCCCATTTTTTGACTGGACTTTTTGGGTTTCTGGGTGCTGAGTTTGATACGTTCTTTATGTATTTCATGTATTTACCCTTTATATTTGTCATTTGCAAATATCTTCTCTGCTGCCTTTTGGTTGACTGTCTCGTATACTTTGCACTCTTTTCCTTGATGAAGTCCCAGAAGTTCATTTTTGCTTCTGCTTCCCTTGCCTCTGGAGATGTGTTTAGTAGGAAGTTGCTATGACCAATGCAACACAGAGGTTACTGTCTGTCTGTTCTCCTCTAGGAATCTGATGGTTTCCTGTCTCACATTTAGATCTGTCATTCATTTTGAATTTATTTTTGTGTATGGTGTAAAAAACTGGTCCAGTTTTCCCAACACTATTTGTTCAAAAGACTTTTTCCTTTGGATAATCTTTCCTGCTTTGTTGAAGATTAGCTGACCTTTTCTGGGTTTTCTATTCTCTTCCATTAGTCAATTATCTGTTTTTGTGCCAGTACCATACTGTCTTGGTGACTAAAGGTTCGTAATACAGCTTCAAGTCTGGAATTGCGATGCCTCCAGCTTCTTCTTTTTCAAGATTGCTTTGGTTATTTGAGGTCTTTTGTGGTTCCACACAAATTTTCAAATTATTTATTCCAACTCTCTGAACTGGTGGTATTTTGATAGGGATTGCATTAAATGTGTTGATTGCTTTGGGTAATATAGACATTTTAACAGTATGTGTTCTTCCAATCCATAAACACATTTTACTGCATGCTTTTCTAACAACTTTAAGATATAATTCACGTATCATAAAGTTCCTTTTTAAAGTATACAAAATAAATGGCTTTTAGTATATTCACAAACTTATACAACCATCACTTTTTCATCACTCCAAAAATGAATCCTATACCTATTAGCAGCCAGTCCTCATTCTCTTCTTCCCCCAGTACCTGGACACCA